GCGTGATTTTGAAAATCTTCTCTTTTTGAAATGCATCCGTATATTGTAAAATTTCTTATTATTGACAGAGCGACCATTCTTGGATACTGGATCATTCTATGATAATAAGATACTTTTCTGAAAATGACATAATAAAAGATGGGTGATCGCATACGTTTATTTGACGTCTACTGATGATACTCATACTTGTTTCCTCAGTTGATGGTGTTACTTGTAGCATGATAAATTCTTCTATCGTCTATAAAAAAATTTCGAATCCTCTAACTGTTTTAAATACAACTAGTTTATGGAAAATAAGTGAATAATCTGGGTGCAAATATGAGGTTGATGTTATTATTGCTGGTATTGGCTGCAACTGTAGTTGTTGAGCACACGAGAACTGTCTACTTGGCATACATACTATGGTGCAGCCAACTTTTTGACAAACACATTGACTTTTTAAACAACGTTGAAGCTAGTATGAATGATATTTTAATAGGTACTATTCGGTGAGGATACTCATTCGGCAAAAGTAATTTAAAACAAAAATAAGTTTTCTAAGCCTCCTCCCCATGTCCCAAAAAAACAGTCAGTTTTCGCAATAATTCAGCTAAAGGCGTAGAGAGATAGTTCGTAGTCTGCTCTTTCAGAAAAGCTAAAATCTCTTCCTTAGTACTTTCTTTTTTCAAAGAAAACATCAAGATTTATGAAAATAGCCGTCGATAAACCAACGACACTGAAGATTCCTAAAAATCTTTCTCCATTTTTCTCAATTTTATCGTTTCTAGTATGCCTATCCAAAGATTCTCAATGCTGGCCTTCTCAACATGAGAATACTTTTCTTATTTAAAAGAGCACATCAAAACTTGGGGAATGACATCGTACTTTTTTCAAAAAAGAATTCATTTTTAAATCGAGAAAGTGTCATCAACAACGTGCTGGTAGTTTTGAGAACCGTTTAAACCTAAAAGAAGGCACTTTACATAAAATAATCAAAAAGTTCTAGGAATAGCCTTGAACTTCTGCTATCTGACGCAATAAAGAACTTTCTCTTTCATATATTAATAGTACTAGAACTTGTCGAGTGATTAGTAAAATTGAATTCTAATGGTTTGTGCTTGATAAATATAGAGCTCATTTTTTCTATATGCTGTACTTTTAGATGGATAAAATACATATTTGGTAACTTACTATATCTTAACAAGATTCAAACTCGACTTTACAGCAATGCTAATCGATAAGGAATAGTATGATGCACGGGATGAGGACCATATATCATATAGCATAGTCGCTAGACGAGTGCAACATTCTGGAGAGAGGAAAACCTCATAAAAAGATAATCCAAGAATTGGCCGACCAGTAACCGGAGTTATCAATTAAAATATCAAAGCTGTTAGTGCATTAATTGCAGAAAATCCACAAATAAATATTCGATACATAGTGTTTGAGACTGTTTTGTCCTAAGGAACTACCAGTAATATTGTTCATGAGGAATTAAAAGTGAAAAAAATATGTTCAAGATGCATGCTACATCAATAGGAGGAAAAATGCAAGCAACAACCGGCTGAAGTTTGTCAAGAAAATCTTGCTAAATTGGAAGACGGTCCGTGACAATTATATGATATTAATACAGAAGAAAAAACATGGATTTATCATCGTAGTATTGATTCAAAACAATTCAATATGATATGGTGTTCTGAAGCTGTAAGTCTAGCCACAGCGGTGTAGCAAAATCGATACAATCGAAAAGACATGTTTGTGATCTTCCTTCAAACAACAGGACCGGAGCTTATTCACGTGGTTGAATCTGGAAACTCAATAGCTGATGCTTACTAAGATAATTGCTTAAAACCTTTATTTATTAACATTATATAACAAAGATGAAAATCTGGTTTCCTGGCCATCAAGCTGCATCAGGACAGCGCAAGTTCACATCAAACGAAAGATATTAAAACTTTTCTTCAAGAGCAATGAGTGATGGTGATGCCTCAGCTACCTTATTCAACTGGCCTGACACCATCCGATTTTTTGTTATTTGATTATTTGAAACGACAATCAGGCTGTTACTATGACTCCAAGTTTTTACAACAAGCTGTAACCAAGAAGCCTTATGCCATCTCACAAAATAAACTTTGAAAGACATTTCAAGAATGGATTGATCGAATGAAACTCTGTATAACAAACAAAGGCGACTACTTCGCACATTTAATGAAAAAGTTTTTTTGTAAACCTCATTCATTCAACAAAAAAGTAGATGTTCCTAGAACTGTTTAATAGCCCTATGTAAAAAAAACATGATTTCATTTTTTGCATCTTGAGACGCTTTTTAAGTCTAAAGTTCTGCTAGTTCGAAGGTTCTGAGGTGAAAATTGATTTTTAGGAGAGGAAGGCAGACGAAAGCATCTTTAAAAAAAAGTAAATGAAAAGTATGAAAGAGTGTGAACTAAGGTTATGTTTTGTGATTGTGCTATATTCTACACTTATATTGAAATCCATAAAATATATTCTATAAATCTTATTTCATATGAAATCAAAGATATAAACGTATAATGTGGAAATATGCTGATTTCGATACATTCATCCTCATGTACAATGTCAGATGTATAGAATATAGTGTACGGATTAAGACGCACTCATTCTAAATCATGTGTAGCTAGAGGCGCATATGTTACATTTTATTGTTTTTAATCCAGATAATAAAAAGAATAGTTTCTATAGTTTATTTCAGAATACTACTAGAAGGTACTACACTAAATAAAATAAAAGTTATTTGAAGAAGTATCTGCATCTATTAGAAACGAAACTTACCTGTCTGCTGTTTTCGAAGAGAATGTCAAGGAAATACGTTACGAATGAATATGACAATCTAAAACAATAAGTTAAAGAAGTCGTTCACGTTTCACTTGAAAAGAAAACACATAGCTTCTTATACCAATCTTATATTTCGACCACTATTAGTTGCTACAATCAGATCTTTGCATGTATGTACACAAAGCAGTCGACAAAATTGATTATTCTGTATGAAAAATAGAGTAAGATATGACATGTTCGTTGGATTTTTATTAACAAAGATGAAGGTAAACAACATCATAGAAAAGTAGAGAAACGTATTATTATAAGGCTTCAAATTCTGTAGCATTATTTCATCTTAATATTCACTCATAAATCAATTCATATTTAAATTAGTAAATGACATGTGTAACATTGTGTAGGACATGCTAAGCTGATGATAATTCTTATTGGAGTGAAACATTTTAATTATTTTAAGTAGGAATGTTATATCTATGTACAGAATATTGTCAACGAACATAGATCAAGCTCTAAGAAGAAAGCAACAAAATATTGCTTCTTCCTTTTCTTTAACTTTTTAAATAATACTTCATTTGTATGCGAAATAGAAAAGAATATTAATTCGTCTTTATTACACATAGAAAAAGAATAAAGTGCAAACAAAGACTGCATTCGGTTTCCTGTGATGTACACTAAGATTCGCTTTTTCATTGTGAACTTCGTAATAAAAGTATACAAGTAGATATTCAAATTTTGCATTACTAAAAAATACTTCTCGATGGAAATCGAAACAAGATTGCTTCTTGCAATACATATGTAGTCTTATAATAATAAAAACGTTCAATATTAATCCTAGATCGTATAATAATACATTATTTTTAGAAAGCCATTTAAAAAATAAGTTGATTCATCAATCTCGTCAACGTTCTCAAGACAAAAGCAATGTAAGGACATAAATTTGTTTTTACTAAATTCACATTAATAATATTCTTCAAATCACATTGTTATAATCTAACCATGTGAAAATCAAAAAGTATCAAGTCCTGATTATTTAAATCTGGATTTATTTCGCAAAAATACCACGGAATCAATCTAAATACAAAAGAAAGTACATACCGGTATCTCTTATTATTTTTTTTGTTAAAATCACATAGGATTCTTTTATGATTTCAAAATATGGATTCTAGATTTCTCATTATTATTTTCTTTGTTCTATAGAAATCATTTTTGAATTAAAATCATGAAGAAGATATTTTCATTATTTACTTAAGTATTGGTTCTTCTTTATATAAGGTTGGTCGTATTCAATTACAGACGGAAGCTTTTTTCTTTTCATTTCAAAAAAAATTAATTGTGTTTGAATATTGAATAGCAAATGTTATTTCAAATAAATGAAATAGGCTTCGATAAAACAAAAAAAACATGGATTGAGAAATGTTACTTACTCGATGATAAAATATTATCAATCAAATTATTTCAGGTTTCTTTCTAGTTTGTGCCATCAATAACAAGGGTGTGGGTGTGGGTGGGTGTGGGTGTGGGTGTGGGTGGGTGTGGGTGTGGGTG